AATGCATGAGGAATGTGAAGCGGATATAATTTTTTGGCCGGCACATATTTGTTTTAGAATGTGACTTCACGAAGGTATGTTGCCTTGTAGTGCTGTCCGTTTTCTGGACTATGAACTTTTGATACCTGAACAATCAGTAGCCGCCTCTTGTAGCGTGTTCACCGTCTACCTGGTTTTAGCCCTGAAGCTTACATATTAGGCTTAGAAAACTGTGAGATTACTCCTTGATGGAACTCTCCGTATTCTCTGTATTCCGTGTTCGTCAGCGAATAGGGTTAGCAGTCAAGTTGCAGGTGAAATGTTGTTCATTTTGGGAATAGACTTTCTCAGCTTCGCGGGACTCGACTGTTTCAAGGACCCTAAGCAAGGCGAAACCCGCGAATTTCAAATGATCTCCCCATTTGCTAATATCAAATCCAAGGAAATTGTACTCATGAAACTTTCGTCGAATTTGCAAAATTTGACGCACAACCCAACTCTTAAAGGGTTTCCATACCACTTGAAGTTGGGTGCCGTCACCCAGGCAGCATGCTCCGCGTTTTGGTTGACAGAATGACTTTTGGTGAAAAAAATCTGTGTAGACAGATTCTCCGTAGTTCTGGCATGCGCGAAACTCGCCCTTTATTTCAGTGTGTGATGAGTCTGGTGATGAGTCGAGGTCCGAAGCTGTCCAGATAAGCGATCAGGAGGACTCTGTAGTACAAGATACGAAACGATTAGGCAGCAACGGTCACATCTGTTGAACCTCAAAGTTGCTCCCATCTGCCAAGTCCCCACTAATTCGTTCACATTAAGCGATTAAGGTAAAAACAGAAGTAGCACAGTGGCTTGAACTTTAGTTTTTTTGTCCCGTCCATTTGCTGTTCTTTCCGAAGCTTGACTAGCGCATCTTAGTTATTAATTGAGTGCAAAGTACACTTTGAATCCACCAGTTTGCATGTCGTTCAGTGACGATGACGAAATGGTTATAGGGACAATTGAGCGCGAAATGCGATGGCCTGATGAGTTTAATGCTGGCACCTCGAGGTTTCCAAATATGGTCGTCCAAATTTACTACTACGTATTTTTTTCGTTACAGAAGAACGAGTAGATCATTGTTGGTGAACTGTCGACCGGAGGGATGGGTGTAGAAGAACCCTTGAGAAATGTATTGATAGTCGTCAAACCGTATAATCTGAGGTTTTCCATTCGGGCAGTTTTTTTCCTGCTGCCTTACTACCTCAGGGATATCGCTCTGCTGATAGAAATTAAGCTTAATCTTTCCAACCCCAATCGATAGTTTCAATCAGTCATCTTCGATTTCTTTTTTGGTTCCGTTGCTTAATGGGAATTTATTGTTAGATTAGACTTCAGAGCTAAGCGGGATAGTGATCTGAAAAAGTGCTTTGTTTTTTTTTGAAGGGGAAGGTGAACAGCGGTCGGTCAAGCGACGCACTTTTGGTTGATTTATTTTCCTCCCAACGTACCTGGGATCGCAGAGCACTAACAAACTACAAAGAGGCGGGACAATTTTAACAATTCTCCTCTATTCGTGCATGTGATCCTGAAAATTCGATGTCGAAGTCAACAACTTTGTTCTTTCTCTGTAACCTATTCACGACTGAAGAATCCCAAATTAAATAGATCCGGTGTTCGTCGAATTCTCGGACTTTCACCAGGCTACACGTGTTGATTTAGAATTTCCATTCGAATTCCAATGTCTGCATACTAACTGATTCCTTGGTTCAGCAGTCTGTTCTTCCTGATGGTGGGCAAGATGGACCAAGTGGTTAGAGTGCGAATTTACTGACCGCAAGGTCCGTGGGTTCGAACCCACCTCTGCCATTCGACTTTCGCTGTCTAGGCTTGGACGACCAGCCCTCGTGCGTCCGTGTGGCATGGCAACCGAAAGGGTGCTACAGCTGGACGGCGATCTCCCTGATGAGATCACCAGACTGGCTTAGGCAGAAGCGAGACCTATCGTTGCCACGCCCTAAGTTTGCCGTCGACCCTATTTTTGGCGCCTTTTACACCGTATCCGGGTGTAAACCGGCAATTCGGTGTGTTGGTTGCTGAAAGAAGGAGTGAGAACGGCACAGAAGCGCATCCACGGATTCTGGACGAGTAGATCCGGCAGAAGATAAGCTACTTAGTATTTGGTGATTCCCTTTCAGAGGACGCGGAACTTGTTTTAACCTTGATGGATATGTTGCGACTGTGGGAGGTGCATTAAAACGCATGTAAAAATGCATCTGCAAGCTTTTCATCCTTACTAGATCGTCTTATGCTTTGGAGACGTTTTTCACCGAACACATATTAGCGTCAGTCAGTCAGACCACTGTATCTTGTAGAAGCGTTATCTAAGATTGTCTACTTGACGCAAACATCTGCATCGTAATATCCAGAGTGTGCATTCATTCCATTTTGTCTTCTCTTATTACCAATGCAGAGTCTGTGCCTAGGCGGTCAATAACTGTGTGTCCAGAAAGTGATAGGTAGGCTTCTTTAGGTTTACTCATGTGTCTCATCGTTTCCTTTTCTATTTATCCACTGAGTTGCTTGCGATGGCGTCGGCCTCACCCTGCCCATTACCACAAACGCTGGTTATGGTGTGTTTCTCACGCTTACGCAAGTGTACTTTTCGCTAACTTGCGCTCTATTTACACAGACACGTTGAACACAAATCTGTCGGTCTACCAAAGTCTCAACTGCCTCCTATTTGTAGGCCACTTGTAGATCGTGAAAATTAACTGTTCACGAAGCTGGCAAACTTGTGAAACACTCATGTCTGTTGGCTTGCCTACCAGTTGAGAATGAATACTGCAATATTCCTGGATGTAGGTTACCTATCCTGACTATTCGCGTGGTACAAAAGGTATTGCCCAGTATATACTGTTTTTAAGCAAAAACGTTCTCGATGGAGTTGTGGCACCGATTCTGTTGTATTACGCATTCTCTCCCTAGTTCCTTTATTTAAGACAGTTGTGCACGTAGGCCAGGCCACATCGGCGATACTGGCATGTGAACCGTCATTGATTCACTAAAAGGATGTCATCTGTTGATCGTGTGAGTGAAGCGTGGGCACGACGACAGCCAGTGCTGCATAAGATACGACAGTGTTTTTATCTGTGCATCACGCATCTTCATTATGCATATGTAGTGTTCGGTTACTTCCTGAGAACGTTCAAAAGATTACTAAAGGCTTTGCATCCATAAACGTTTGTTTTGTTGACCCATCTTCCAAGGCGATCACTCTGTCCATTCAAGAGCGTGTTGCCTGAACTGCTATTAAAGATTGAATTGCGAATTAACCGTAGCTTAGTGCTTCCTTAGATGAGTTTTTGTTATCATTTACCCTGGCTCATTTCACATTCCCCGTTCTGGGTTTATTCAGTCCCTCGAGGGAACGGATTCGAACGTTGTTCGAGGTGGCCCAAATAATTAGAGCGCAAATTTACTGACCGGAAGGTCCGTGGTTCGAACCCGACCTCTACCTCTTGACTTTCCATGTTTAGGCTTGGGAAACCAGGCAGTACCCCAGCCCTCGTGCAACCTTCGTGTGGCATGACAGTTGGGCACCGAAAGGGTACTACAGCTGAACGTATATTATATATATATTACCTAATTTATCACGACGCTACCTTCGATACCCAACAACTGCCGCTTCTCTCAGTGCGGACCTCAAGACTCTACTCACCAATGGTTAGAGACACTGAAAGACGGCTCAATCACCCAGTCAAGAGTGCCTTCAATGCGTAGCTGTCCAATTTCCCGAACTAACTGATCTTCCCATTACTTCCAGTTCATGGTCCTGTGTCCCATGCTTGTTTTCCCAGATTCCGGGGACCGGAACTGTGGCAGTGCAACTAGCGTACCCTTGGTATATGGTTTATAGCTGATAGACTGACTGACCGCTGTTTACGTGTATCCACTTTTCGGTCAGTGTTCCGTTTTGTTTCTAATCCGTGGTCTGTGTGCAGTAATACGGTGCCTCTGGTTGCTATGGTCCGTGGCGGCAGGAAAAGAAGAGTAATAACGTGCAAGAGGCGGAACTAGAAAAACAGTTTAACAAGTGAATATGATTGAGTGAATACCAAAGCTTGTGTCACATAGCCGTACTGGTCAGGGTCTTCAACTGCTGTTTGGGTGCGTTACTCACCGTCCCGGCAGGCAGCCCACAGCAGGCGAATCGGACCGCTGGTTAGTCCTTTGGTTACTTCATGGCCTGATCAGTTGTTGCTGTCTTCCGCATTACTGCTGATGGGGTCGATATTTAAACCTGGGTAAATGGTCTTTGGACAGGTACAAAACCACTCCCGTGTAAATGAACTTACTTGTCTGGCCCACTGTTCTTATGTTCGGCTGCCCTGTGTTGAGTTCGAGGAGTTTTTCGACGGATGTTCTGGTGCGATGGATGGTTTGGCAATCAACTACAAAGACATTGTGAAAATGACTCCCTCATGCATGGCTGTGATCCATAACCTGGTACCTCTTTATTAGTTGTTCGTCTACTTAGCCTCGGGGAAGCTAGAAACCTGGACACAGCATCTGTCTGACCGTGCTAATATACACAGTCCTTCGGGTATAACTTTCGCTTAAACAAAGTTGGTTGTGCATTCGAAGTCGGCCCAAAAACTCTCGTCTGTTTTATGACAGTTGCTGAAACCAGCATTACCGCATTCACGGGCCTTTCCAGCTACTCTGTGACAGGACGTTGCCCTTCATTCAAAGTATCCGATTAATGTGACTATGACGGGATATAATATGTGCCGCTGAGTAGTATAGTTCATCTCTTCTGTTGTCGTGCAACTAGACACTTTGCTCACAAATTCATATTCTTTGTGCAACATATTTCGTCTTGCGAGATGACCTATATTTTCCAAGTTTTCATATACTCACCGTTTGAGTGACCGTCTGGACGACCGAAATTGATCTATTCTAAAGGTGGTCTCTCTGTAAGCCGCTAATGCGTTCCCCCTTTTGTCATAACCTCGTGTTTTCTGTTCCCCGACATCACATAGAAACCCACTTCCGAAATCCAGCAGGCTTTACAGCTGGGTATTCAACACCACATTGGTTCGATTCAGAAGGAACGTGATCGCGATGTGCTGTACCGTGATTTCCAAACTATCGACACCGTCCAGTTTCCTGCCTGTGGGACCAAAACTACCCCGGCCCACTCACTGTCAGATTTCCGGTTCAAGACCTACGCCCCAATTGCATTTCGCAACTTTCGAACGCGGTACAAACTGGACATTCGTGATTTCCTGGTGAGCATAGCAAATCTCATCCGACTACATCTAGTCCTTGATTTGTCACTGTTCCCTCCATCTCTCACTTCCGTTAAGGAGTAGGTGGTTTCAGTGGCATCACTTCGCTCACTACACATAGATTTCAGCTTTCCATCACATTAATTTGATACCATATAACTGATCGAAAGTGACTGCCTCGGTAGTGCCCATCACAGTCATGCTTTTTGCTCAGTCGTTCGGATCAGATCTCAACATTCACTCGCCTTGTTTTTTCGTGCGGTCATTAAGCAACAGATTCAATCACGCAAAGTGTGATTGTGTGGCGTCACGTTTGAGTAGGCTTTGTGAAAAAAATGATCACGTGGTTTCAAAAGCCGGTTTACGAATTCAGTCGATACGGGTCATACGGTGGGTATACTCTGCATGTACCGGATGGACTGAATGGTCATCTTACCTCAAGATCGGAGGTTTTGAGCAAAATTGCTCAACGAAGCTATGGTAAACGTCCACTGGAAAGTTCATAATTTCCCGCCCTGGCTTGTTATACAATTACTGGTGCAATCTCGTGTGCATATGTGCCTTCGTGTCGTTCATATCTGCTTGGTAGATAACAGTTACAACCAAGCGAATTCCGGGCAATACAACTAATCTATCTCCCTCCCCGCATCATGGGTGCCACCCATAAGCCGAACAAAGCCAGTCGTTGATCTTTTTTCTACAAACAATACAATCGCAGTCGAAATTTTAAAGCACAACCCCTTTTGTGCAGCGTAAAGATGGCTGCCCCCCTGCTACGAATGTTTTTCGTGCATAGCGAGGCGCTTTTGCCGCACACCGAGATATCTGATATTGTTAATTAAGATAACACGAATGAGGCTGATGTGAACAAGTCCCATCACACACTAGTCGTTCCCATATCAAACACCCACTGGAAAAATTAGCTGCCTTGTAAAACTAATGAAATAGGAAAACTCTGAAAAATGCCAACATGAATTGTACACTGAGCTTGACAATTTCGTTGCAAACGTTTCTCGATTAATCGAAGTGAGTAAATTCAGTAAACCCGTATGATGTAGTAGTGGACAAAGGGCTACTGTCAGTTCGACATTCTGTGTGCTCAGCTAAACTGATGTGATTGGCACATGTTTTAAGTAAAGTTGGCCTATCGGTCAGTCATACTCATCGGTGTTGTCAGACCACAGAAATGTCTGGGTGACCAGATTGTTTGCTTTCACAGAGCACTGCCGTTGAGTGGCGCATCTCTCCTCCGGGATCCTCCTTTATAAGCCATTCTTGTATAGAGTTTCACTGGCGCAGTCCGATGTGACAAGCGAGAGCGTTCGAATTCCAGGGACACCATGCGTTCTGTTCCATTCCGCGGTCAGTGATTGACTTATCCTGATATGTTCTTATGGTTAATGACATCAACGTGATATTTTTTGCAGCTTCGGAGGGCGCTGGCGTTTCTCCTTCCTTGTTTTTGAGGCTACGAGACTGCTGTGCCGGATACCTTACACTCCATTTTACTTGCAGTTCAACACTTTCAGCACATGACTATCCTTCCTCCAACATCCTCAATTTTGGCAAATTGAGTTGTAATGACTTGGCTACTATACTGTTGTGTGCAGTTTGTACAGATGTTGACTTAGTGATAACGTTTGCATCCTGAATGCGCAAAGATAACTTTTCATGACTAAGTTTGGATTTGCTTGATTGTGGATCGTGCCGTTAGATCGCAGTGATTACCAGGGATCTCCACTCAGTCCCGATTGTATGCACGTGAGTGATTATGGTGACCTAATCAGCTGTGGTGCGCGTGACTCGTATGATCTAAAACGCAACACTTTCACGTTTCAATGGCCTAGTTATCACCGGAGACGATAGGAGTGATTCTGCAGTTAGCAACAGCAGCGCGAAAGTAGCCAGTCAGGTGGACTCATTTGTCTTTATATCGTGTCCGCAAAAGACAAAGGAGTTCGTTGATTTGAGCCTATACAACAACAGTCGAGGAGTCCATGCTGGTAAGGAGTTCTGAAGTTCGGGCACTCTGGAGACCAACTTGGAGTGGATGTATGACAAGCCGGGTTAAGTGAAATTCGTAATTTCTCGGCGAATCAGCCCATTTGTTTGGGTCCCGCGTCTGAACGGGAGACTAATTAGTAGTCACGACTTACGTACTATGAATGTTTGGCTACCAGTTTTCCTCTTATAGGTTCCAAATTGGTGAACTCTGCTCACTCAGGGAGGTTTTCATTTCCCGAGAATTCCACAGCCTTTGGAATGGTTCCATTCTGAATGGGATCGAAGCTTCTTCCGTACAAAAGCCATTCGTTTATTGGGAAAGCTGGAACCGTTTCCAGTTCAGAAGAATTCTATCGGATTTTTTTAAGGCGAGCCTTGTTAGGCTCTGCTGGGCCAGACATTGGCCTCTTTGTTCTCCTTCTCTCTCTCTCTCTGGCATTTTTTCTTGGCTCCAGAAAGATCGGTCATTCTCTAGCTCACAGCGCCAAAAGTGGACCTGATTGAGGAATTCGTCGCATCAAGATTTCCTCATGAACCGGATAAATGGAATCAACCAATACTGATTCTTAGTAATATAAAGGAATCCATAGATAAGTGCTTTCCGAAATTTTCTGGGAAACATGGAATAGTCTGGAAGCTATAATGAAAAATAGTCTCTCTATGATCAACAGTGTCGCATATTACATAGTGCTTTCATTAACTTGTGTTCTGGTCACCGACGATCACCTTTTCCAGGCGGCCGTCAACCTCACTACGTCAGGGTCGCAAGTTTTCTAACAAATGGTTACATTCCGTGGTGAGCGGACTTAGGTGGACGTATTGCTCCATTTCAGTTCATTGGGGCCGCAAATTCGTGATGTGTTTCAGGTATAACAACGATGGTAGCGCCTTTGTTCAGCAGTCATCGTGTTTTCTCCCACCGCCATCATCCTATACTTGGTTGTGCAAGGCGCACTGCAGTGTTTAACACTGCGTTGCTGGGGTGTATAGCGTTCCGATCAAACCTCATGGCACTCTTGTGCCACGGCGTCCATGGAGAGGTCGCCGCAGTTGCACTGGAACGCTGAATGTCGTTACAGCGTCTAGAGAAAATAACCACAACTGTCCAAGTATGGAAACTATTGAACTAAGATAAGCTTCTTTTTGAAGTTCATCCCATGATATCTAAAAGCTTGCAGTCAACATGTAGTCTCCAAACTTTCGTCAAATCAGATGAAAATTGATACCAGCGAAGCCTCACGAATTTCAAACGGTGGATTTTTAGCTGGATCGCTTTGCAATAGACTGCGCAGAATGAATTTTTGATTGTACAGCCAATGCATACATGCAGTTTGTCGAAGAATACATAGCAACCATTCCTTTGTCTCAGTTCACTATGCTGGGAAATGGGGCACGGAAGTAAGTTGCTTGATACTGGCGGGTTTGTATGCTCTTCTTGATATGGTTAACACCAACTTTCGTTATATTTTAACGAATAACACCACCCAATTCAAAGACTGAGTGATGACCTTCACTCGACACTTCCATTGAAGTTCGTTATAACACTGTCGCCCTAGCGCAGCGGAAACCATTCACGGCTGAGACTTGGTCTTTGATGAGTTTTTCGGCGTCCCTGATAACATCATTCTGTCTAGTTTTGTTCTGTACTGGCGCTAGTTGAATGAATCTGTGAATATAAGTCCAGGGACAAGGTTGAAAGTGCCCTAACAAATACATTTTGATGCCTTTTGCACCACCCGATACATCCACACACACTTTAAAGAATGCTTATCTTAGAACGAATGGGGAAAATCCAAGACCTACAGTCTCGGACAAACTGATCAGATTACTCTCCTTAGAACTACTATCTACAAAATACCGACTCGCTATAACGTGGGGATATCGCTTGTCATGATACACTACAAGATTGGATCTTGCCACTTTCGTCATATCATTGAAGACCAGGTAGGCAGAAGCACCCGTCAGTGTTGCTACTATTAATCTATCATTTCTATTCAACCAACTGAAATACAGTAACGGACGTAGAACTAAATATTGTTTGGCTTGCTCACAATAGAGCACCGGCGCGATGAGTGCTCCTACCACGTCCAATTCAGCTTCTGGTCAATTGTGCCACAGCTTCGGACTGAATTTATTAGAAAGCAGACTTGAAAGCATATTTGAGATTGAGCCATACGTCCGGCGGTAGATCCTCAAGATTTTCACAGGAAAGCAAGTATCGTGACAAACTCCCAGCACTGTTGATATCCGTTCGGTTCGCCCGAGAAATCTGTAGGAACAGCTCAGCCGCACCGATTCGTTACACCGTGGCAAAACTCAGAATGGCTTCTTGGACTGCTTGACCTGAATTTGCAGGTCCTTACCAATTTTGCCGAACACTGCCCCTGAAACACTCGGTGTTTATAGGACTGTGGAAGAGGAGAAGGAGTTAACCGAATACCGCATAACGCCCATCGCATTTAATGTGTTGTATGAAACGGTTCCAGAATTGGTAGAAGACTGTTGGACAAAGAAATCTTCAGACGACACCAAACAGTTCAGCAGAAATCATCAGAAATGAGCATTGACGGTTGTGTTTTTCAGCTTATTTTCCGCACTGCCGACAAGGAGACCTTTTCCAATGTTTTTGCTTGCTTCAAATTCATTCATTGGTCGGGGTTCTGTAGCACCGACTTTGGTAGATGCATGGTTCACAGTAAATTCTGGTGACTAGGCTAGATTGTGCAATAATGGAATAGATTGTCGTCCCAATGTTATCGTGGTTGAAGCGGTGGTACAAAGTGCGCTTGCCGGTAGACCAGGACAGGCACTTTCTTGTCACTTCGCGTGCGCCTCCCATCATGGTGCCGTCTGCGCCATCGACTGCCGTGCCACACACTATGGGCAAGCACATCGCTTAGTACAGTCCATAGTTTTGAGAACTCTCGAATTTCTGATCCCTCTTCGCTACCTCCGTGTCTGATGAACTTAGTGACACCGCTTACAAGACGTGTAACCAAGTTCCGTCATGAGTTCAGCCAGGGTGCACGGCGTTGCTTGCATTGGAATAGGGAAGACTCTGTGGGTTCGGTAGCTTGGTGAACGCTTCGGAACAAAGTTGGTGAAGACTAGCCGCCTCATCACCGATCAAACGGACGAAGGTCTTGCGTGTTCCAGCGCTGCTTTTCCTGCGGAGCACCAGTTTGGGTCCGTCTGGTTCCATCTCTAGACCGCATTTTTATTCTGCTCTGTATATCTCTATATCTAGTCAAAATCACTTTGCGAGGCTTACACAACGTCGTTCCTGCTACCCAACTATCGCGAAGAATTCCATAAGACCATTCTCGTTTCGAAGCTGTTCCCCACGGAATTCAGAGTACTCCTACAATTCTGCCTTTTGGCAAAGGCCACCAAGTTTTAAGTCTTTCAATACCCGAATTCCAAACATTTGAGTTGAACAATTAACTAAGGTTCATTAGATTGCTTTTCTTCCTTTGTGAACTGTGTGAACAGAGTTGTGAATCATCTTACCGGTCTTGTGCATTTTACGCAACGTTCTTTAACCGGTTTCACTTTTTCGAGGTCCAGGCTAGTCTCATGGCTTTCATCAGTCTTGTTTGATACTCGAACACTAAGGTAAAAATATGTGAAAATACACACTCTTCTGCAAATGGGAGACTCAAATGAGTCACTCGTTTATGTCATCAGTAGATTTAATTGAGGACTTCAATGAACTGGAAACTCCCTTGACTGTATCATTCCGCATATATTTGATCTAATGTTTCAAGTACCAAATTAGGTTTATACAAATCAGGGTCTTGCGGCGATTTAACAAATTCTAAAATGACCGAAACTAGTGGTAGACTGTTTCATCAATTTCAAACGTATATCATCACATTCAAAACATAAAACGCGTTCAGCAAAATGAAGGATGACTCTGGTTCCCCCTCGACTTGGAAGCGCGAATTCGGTGGTGAATTACTACGTAGTACAATACAACACCGTTAAAACCAACACTCCTTCGGCAACTACGTTTTTGAGCGTGCTACGAGTGCTGTATAAAGAAATCGGTACAATGCTGTTTCCGCTGCATCGGTTTCCTAAGGTCATGGTGAACTCCTTGTAGCGAGGTTTGTGAATCATGGTATTCATCAGATAGCCAGATAAATGGCCTCTAGGTTAGCTTTAAACTGTGGTCGCAGAAGATAGGCCCCAGGTATATTGTATCACCAGCACTGTTACCTGTAGGTACCTACTGGGAGCTGCATAACAGGTTCTATCATCTACGACACGTGTTACAGCTCTTTGACCTAGAGCACGAACACTCATCAATTCTTCGGAGACTTGTGATTGGCGGTCGAAGTATCGATAGCTTAGTTTGTCGCTGCTGGTGCCGGTGAGAGGTCGTCTCAACAGTTGCTTATCACTTCGAATGTTTCTATTGTTCTTTTTTGGCGTCCATTACTCCCGACACATTGCACCGTCGATACCCCTGCATATTTTTGCGTACCTAAACGTGTACACATCAGTACACACGCTCGAACAGCACTATCAGCAACACCCGGCCGTTCGATCAATACTTCTTGTGCTGTAATATCGATTGTCTCCTACGTTCACTTACATTTTATTCCGCACTGGCGTCTGTCGTTTTCATCCATAGAGTTTGCACTCATAGCTATGTTGCGTCCGACGCATTGATTCGAAACACAAAGGCGAGTCCTTACACAATAGCCATCGATCCTCTGAGACTTCCTCTTTCTTGGTGTGTACAAACTCAATTTTCACACTCTTTGTCGTTTGAACCAAAGAGTGTCTGAGCATGTCAGCCAGGCACATACCGTTGTGATTCTGATCACCGGAGCGTTGAAAACCACCCGGCCAATGTCGAATCGGGTGCTACCTTACCGATTTATGGCTATCCGCTGACGATCGCAATGAAAGTGAAGGTAATTCATGTGTAAGCCTCACTGTACCACAAATATGACTCGCGAATTCTTCCTGAAGGGACGCTCGCCCCGGGAGGGGGGGATAAGATTAACAAGAGCGAAATCTATAATGTAAGATGCGTTGTGCAGAGACGTACTTCTGTGATGTCGTGCGGAACTTTGTCACAGCTGGTTTTCGGAAAAGTTCAAAGGGTCACGTCACATGGATGACAAAGCTTTGAAAGCGCAGAGTAGTCGGTATCGTGATAGTAGTGAATATATTCGAGTGGATATCAGTGGGATCGTAAAAATCGGAAAAAAGTAAGTTGGATATAATGTGGAGTGGGATAAGGTAAGACATGATCTGAATGAGATTGGTTTCCCTCCACGTAGTAGATGATAAAAGAAAGAACCCAGAAACTAACTGGGATTGTGATATCCGATCGTCAGGCTAGCGTGAAATTACTAACCAGTTGTTTTTGTTTGAGTCCTGAAGTTGCTGAAGCAACTTCAGGATCTAGCCGTGCTTAGATGTAAAAGTAACTTTAAACTATTCCAAAGGTATTGGCCGGCATTCTGTGTTCCTTAGATGTTTCATTATTGCACTCCTGGACTGTCACTACCTAATTTCCCTAGCCAGTTTGGGATTTGTTCGGTATTACGAATCCTGAGGTGCCTCATTTATGTGGATCCGCGATCAAAAGCAAACTAATAAAGAACATCGACTTTGGCGAGCAGCGGCAGCGGATCTTCCAAAAAAGTAGTTAGTGTTAGCGTGTTCCTGTCAATAAAAATGAGTTTGGTCACATTTAGGGTCTCCAAGGATGTCGTCCACTTGTCATAACTATAATGTAGTTAAATAGAAATCGAACGTTTGTTTTGCATTATCTGAGTAGATGGTAGAAGCTGTCCAATAGAAGTCCTAAGTCTGTTATGTTTTGTATAGCTCATCAATAAAGGTATTAGCATAGTTATTTGACATCAGAATTAGTTATTGTCTGGTTTTGGGGGCGAGATGGCTCAAGTGGTTAGCGGGCGAATTTACTGACCGGAAGGTTCGTGGTCCGAACCCGACCTCTTCCTCTCGACTTCTCCTGTCTAGGCTTAGGCAACCTGGCAGTATTCCAGCGCTCTTGCCTCCTTCCGGTGGCATAGCAGTTAGGCACCGAAAGGGTGCTACAGCTGAACATTCACAAAATCAAATGTGCGTTTCAAACTGTGCCCATTCAGCTGGGTTCTTACTGGCCCAAGCCATTTGGTATGTAAGTAATAAGGGAACCTGCACATGGGGATGATTGGACAGAGCGGCACAGTAGGCTTACGGATCTTATGCAAATAGACCTTAAGGTGTAAGCTTTTTTATTATCATTAAGTTCCTATTGATGTAAATGTTTCAGGTCTTCAATGATATCAGACCGTGTGGTGCGGATAATAAATTCTGATCTATTCAATACTCATGTATGATCACGGTTGCATCATAATCCACGCGATTGGCAAGGGTCGTTTGTCTGGTAGCAGGACCAAGAGATGCAGAACTTCAGGTTGTGTATGCTCTATTGACTAGACAGCATTGTCTAATAGATGTTTTACCCTCGTCTGGATGGGTCAACTTTGAATCACACACCGGTGTCTGGTAATGTACAGATTTACAACCATATTACTTTAACCGAGGATATCTGTGTGTGTATTTGTCTGACTTCTATGTAGTGATGCACCGGGTTCACTCTATTCCTGCCCTGCTTACTATCCAAACGATTTGGACTCAAGTTCTTCCTCAATTATTTGCTTGCTTCATTTTCTGGAATCGGTGTGGATGAGAACACCCGGTCAGTTCGCGTTCGATACGCACCCGACATAGCTCTGGGTGGTAACACAGATAATGTGCCTTCGTGCCGTAATAATGCGCCTTCATTCATTTGTTTACTGACAAGTGCGGCAAACCCCCTCCCCCCTTCACGGTTGTTGCGTTTGACCAACTCAAATAAAATTCCCCTGTGGCTTTTTCATGATTCACAGTGCTACCGAGTCCAACGGGAATAGGGGTGATGATATTCATAGATGTTTCGACTTCCTTCCTAAGCATAAAGTGTGAGGAAATACTTCAGCAAGACGATAATTTCGCACTTTCCACTGCTATAAGCAAATGTGACAGTAATCTCTACCATTTTCGTCTTCCGTTTCACATGTTTACGCTAGCTGCTGAGGAGGTTATGAAAAGAAAATCTTGTTCACGGGAGATGGTAACCGGAGCACCTGTGAACTCTCATCTGTATGCTTCGAATTTCACAGCTGTAGTTTCTATAAATTATGGTCTTCACGGAGAGTGGCTGATTGCAACAGTTCTGTGTGATATAAGGGTGACATCCTGACGTATCGTATTCAAAATTCGTGCTTCTCACCGACCTGGACGTAGTCGGTTATCATGGTTAAAATGTAGTTAGATGCCGTAACCTTTGTTCACCAACACGACTAGGTTGCTTGCTTGAATCGTCTTGTATCTGTAATTATCTTCAACACGAACCCCCTTATATATTACTATGTTTGGCAGAATTCCATATGCAGTCGAGAACTACGCGAATTATCTAACCCGGGTGCCAGTGGATCAATCTTCTACATCACACAGGATGATGAGTTCATCATCAAAACCGTGCAGCACCGGGAAGGCGAATTTCTACGCGCTCTTCTTCCAAGCTACTTTATGAATTTATGGCAACATCCCCCGACCCTTTTGCCCAAATTTCACGGATTTTACTGCTATCAGGTGAGTGGTTGCGTACAATGTTTCTTGGCTAACCTTCATTCATGACGATCTGTTTTTATGCAGACTGAGATACCTATCATGTTGTTGTGCCTTGCTGATTGGTCGTTCAACTGTCTGTCTGTCTTTGGTTCCCGCTCCGCCCACTGTCGTATATCAAAGTGCACGTAGCCTCATACAACCCTTCATGGAGACGGAGAATTACTACAACCGTATCGATAGAGTCATCACAGAATGTTCCGCGAGGCTGTGATAGAATCTCCGTGAGGCGCCGAGAAGCCTCGAGCTAGAAATCCTAGATCCAGATTGGCTGACACTCTGACCAATCAGGGCATAGCTCAGTTTGGTCCGTCCAATTGACGTGATGTTCGGTTATTAAGGACGGCTGGTTCGCGCCATCCAGCTCACGAAATTTCGCAACTGACTCCATAATGGAACTTACAGTATACAGAGTCCCGAAGAAGTTGTCACTGAGCGCACTGTGTGGCCCAACCAGGATTGTGCTTCCACACAGAAATGCAATGTCCATACTAAAACAAATAGTGAGTGGAGTGCACTCGTGATCGATGAGGGCGCAACTTCTCCATACCTTTAAGGATCGTCTGCTAAATCTGTGCCTAGTTCTAATAAACTAGTGCGAGCACTAATGATATTCCCTCAATAGGTAGCGAAACGTTTGCAAGCTAATTACTCCGAGGTGGGCAAACGGATCAACAGCCACTTGATCAACTACCACTGTGTTTTACGTTACTGCGTGCTCGCTTTTGTTTGTACAGCTCAATGGGTGACGCCATAATTGAACTGGCCGGTTGCGTAAATATGGTCAGAATAGACGTCGGAACCTAATGTATACATCACAGGATGCGTTGTCATAATTCCAAATCAAGCCCCTCTGACACCATTAAGTTTGGATGCCAGGAGGATCATCGTCCTAGGCTTGGGATCACACTGACTTGAATGACCGTCATCTGACGGTTTTAGATCGTTAGCGGTCACTCTCGCTAGCGTTTGCCGTAGAGGTCCGTTGTCACTCGCCAGTAACGGTTCTCCCAGTTTTTTTGGGTGACTCACCTTGTCTCACTGTTGCGTAAATCATCTGAGTGTTTAGTCACAGCGAGTGCTCTACTTCGTGCCCGATGACATCAGGGACTTCCGATTTTATCATTGTCATTATTGAGAAGTAGTAATTTACCCACTTTTACTTGATTTTCCTTCAATCGGCTGTTATTGGATGACAGATGAACTGTTTTACTCTAGTATTGGTGCTCTGTGTAGGCTGTCAGACAGCCTCGTTTTCCATCGACTGGTATCATACTCAAACAAGAAACGAAAACCTTACATCTGATTGGACCGTATTGGAATGGGTCCTAAGTGAAGTCCCGCAGAGCTCACCTTAATACAGATAGATCTGGACTGAAGGGCGTCCTCATTCGCTCCTCGCTCAGCCCTGCTGAGTTTTGAGCTCCATTCTTCGGAGGTGAATGCCTAACCACTACTCCATGAACCCGCACTAGACTCCAGCTTGCTCCGGTCGGTTCGAGGACCATTGGAATGAACCGCGGACTTTTGTAACCATTAGCTCACTTCCAAGAATCTTGAGCTTATCGTCACGTATAAGCCGGGTGCTGTCTGTAAGCGGGTCTTTATGCTTATTGGCTGCTATCAATCTACGTTAGCATCAGTGGCTTATACACAATAGCAGCATTTTGAAGACTACACTATGGTGACTTGTCAAATGAATCAGGTGTTCTACCCAGGCCGCTCTGTACCAGTTGCTGGCTGGGACAGGTANGCTGTTCTACTTAGGCCGTTCTGTACCAGTTGCTGGCTGGGACAGGTAGACCACGAGACATTGTGGAAACGGCGCTCGGAAAAGCAATTGGCAACTGACCGTTGACTCGATACGACCAGAATGCGACCCCCAGTCTTGTTGACGAGCAACGCCTCAGAGTGGTCTGCAGTGGTGCTTTGTATGGGTAACAATGCTTCGAAATCGAGACGTTCACATTCCACCGTTCTTTTTACCAAATTTCTCGACTTAAACGTTCACTTAGAGTTGATCCCTGAACTGACGAGTACTTCGTTTGCATTATATCTTTTTTGGGACGGTGAGCGTATCAAAACGAAAGTCACGTTTCATCGTGTCCTGTCCGCCTTTTATGTGTCTTTGTTTTTGAACAGTGATCTCTGTACAACTATGTGTATGTCGACATTGTCACGGGTTCTGAATGCTGATGGTATAAGATAAGGTAGGTCCATAAAGTAAGATAGAAAAAGTCGGAAAAGTAATGCATTGGGAAACGGGAACTTATCTCACTGATGATTTTTACCTACAGATAGGGTGGTTTCTCCCACCTTAACCTCGCAGACAGTACCAGGCAAAACGGTTATCCAGATATTTTCCACCCCGTGCATGCCTCCGGTCAGAACGAACCTCAATGAATAGGATGAAATGAGATAAATAGTATAAATGAACCAACTTTACTGGATTCTCTACCCTTAGGCCGTCTACGGACAGTACATAGGCTAAGGTAAAAGCGGTTCTAACGAGCAACAGCAAGTAATCGGTGGTTAGAAGTAGGTGAGTCGATTCCGGCTGTCCATAGCTGAATCCCTCGTGAACTAATGGTCTCGCATCACCCGGTTCTCGCATAATGCCCCAATCTTAGTTTGACCTTGAACACCTCCCATTCACCCCTACCTTGCTTTTCTTCCATAATGCAGACATCCAGAAAGAACATTCGTTTCGTTGTGATGAACAACCTACTCCCTTCTTCGGTAAAAATACACGAAAAGTATGACTTAAAAGGATCCACGCACAAACGGCGAGCCAGCGCAAAAGAACTGGCCAAAAGTTCGCCAACTTTGAAAGATCTGGACTTTATGTAAGTTTTCTCCCCTCGTTCAGAATCATTTGTTCTCCTCGAGGTATTGTTTGGAGTTATTTGGATCTTCTGTTTCTCAATGGTTTCTTGTTGTTCTTAGTGACGGAACCGGTAGAATGGTGACCACTGAGCTGAGCATATGGCTGGTGAAATGAGGCCCACTACTAATTAGTCGCAGCTTGCGAATTTCCCATAACTTTAGCGAATATGCACTCACTTGCAAACCAATTTGGTTCTTTCGAGAGGCTCACCTGGGACACAGCTGAATCTCTCGTTTATGATGTTCTCAGGCAACTGAATGTGCTGCACCAGGCCGCCTCATGTTTCAGGCGCTACGATATTTGAAATATCGCGATACATGTATATCTTTGTAATGTACTACTCGTCGATGGATTTTCAGCAACCTTATGAGTAGCACATTACAAAGATTCCCATAACCTTTTCTATTTCTTGAGATGATGTTGATAAGGTGTCCACATGAAAACCGAAAATTTGAGAGAACGTTGTTTGTATGCGTACAACAGGGCATACGTCTCCAAATTGAATGCGGGGGACGTGGGATTTCTGTTTAGTATTGATGAACACGTGAAAAATGCGCGAATCGGTTTAGTTAGCGGTTTATCGAATCATGTACTGTGTCAACACGACCGAGCCATTCATATCTAGACAAGCCGTCTAACCATTAAAGAGCTATCAATCGCAAGCGACACTCACTGGTTGCACCCACAAATGCCGGTGGTTTTGACACCCTGGAGCTGGACTCAACAGTCATCATCGCCATCATCGACATCGGTGTTCAACACCGACGCTTCGCTGAAAGCATTATTGTAAAGACGGGGGAGGGGATTTAGTGCTAGCTTACTACAATCATTCCGAGGTACCTACATCTCAGACACTCACTCAGGCAATCTGGCTAGAAACTGACAACAAGATCTCCACTGACATCGGTTTGCAGCCATACTTTGCAGTGTTCCCAAACCAGTTGCAGTGAAGATCACGCGATCGCCATCTTGGAATGCGAGTAGCACCGACAGCACCCAAACGTTTCGTGATTTCTCTCATACTGAGGACTGTTTGATCAATCTGAAAACGTATATCTAGCTGCAAAATTTTGGAGTACATAGACAATATCGCTGTGTCGGCCCTCTCGTTCGTCAGCGTGTTCGGGGTGTGTCGGGCCATCAGAGGAGGATTAATCACGGCCATTAACGGGTGTCTTACCCGAATTTTATGTCATCATTTTCGTACCCTAGCACACGCAGATAGCTTGACGCGAAGCACACTGACCAGTTCTGGATGACTCTTTTACTCCCTGCAAGTTATTGCTTCGAACCGTTTGATTTAAAAGTGTACTGTGGAGTTTCCGGGCTTCTTCACTGTCTTCGAAGTGCAGAATGTACAGACCTCCTCAGTAACAGCCTCTCCGTGTCACTAGGACGGCTTTGTGTAACTTGGATGGGGAGGCGACGAGTGCGGAATTCCTTCTTTGATATATTTCCATCTTAGAGGTTGTTTCCCCTTTTGTTCAATGCTTCGAAATATCCATCGATCAATTCCGCTTGATGTCATCCTGACTTGTTGATTATTTGCTCCGTGGTTTCCATAGTTGCGATGTCATTGTTTATCAAGCTGAGTCCGTATTTGACCCCTTGTATTCATGTTTTATTCATGTGTTAATGCAAGTGTATTTATCGAAGCTGACAGTTGGTTACATATCTAATTGGGCCACCTGCGCAAGTTACGAGCCTGGCCCGCACCAGAGAAATACTTGATGCAGCTAACACTGGAGGAAGCTGCATAGGGAATACTTATTGTTCGGCTTTACAGAGCGTTTTAGTGCAGTGGATAAATTTAGCTCTTGAAAATCATCGTCTCCCAACCCAATTGTTAGATAAATCTGAATGTCGGAGGAAGCTACAGATCATATCACTACCTGATTCCGAAAACTGACGGGCGACGAAGAAGACAATACACACAACTTTGTTTTTTCCTTAGGAGACTCAACTGAATCCAGCTGAATCTCGTTTACGGTGATCTGGCTGTCGAGGTTTTTTTCAGCAACCTTATAAGTAGCGGGTTACATCTAAACAACAAACGCTCTACTGTCCCCAAGATAAGGCGCACGTAACGATGCTTCGGAGTGTGATCGAGTCTGACATCATCATCATCGTCAGCATGACATCAGTGTTCAACAGAAAACTGACGGGCGACGAAGAAGACAATACACACAACTTTGTTTTTATCCTTAGAGACTCAACTGAATCCAGCTGAATCTCGTTTACGGTGATCTGGCTGTCGAGGTTTTTTCAGCAACCTTATAAGTAGCGGGTTACATCTAAACAACAAACGCTCTACTGTCCCCAAGATAAGGCGCACGTAACGATGCTTCGGATTGTGATCGAGTCTGACATCATCATCATCATCATCGTCAGCATGACGTGTGATCGAGTCTGACATCATCATCATCGTCAGCATGACATCAGTGTTCAACACTGATGCTTCACTTCGAGTCTGACACCAGTCCAGAGATGGCATGGTCTAGTTAAACACGAACCTGGTGTTGAACTCTGGACCATAATAGACGTGATAAACCTCCGGCACCATGCACTGAAGAAACGCCTGCGTACTCTTTTGGAACCAGTTAAAAAAGCTAGTCAAAATGCAGTATGCTTCGCACAACTGTGAGCTCTCGGAATGCAGGAGGTTGGGCGACTTATGCTCTCCTGTGGGAGACCAAACATTGCACGTGTAATTGCATGGAAGGGATTGGTAACGGAACTTCTTCCAAACTGAACGTGCAGTTCTAACTCAATGATAGTCGTACTGTCAGACCGATAGTGGAGGCCCTACTACTGTGTTTACGGCGAAACTGGGAAGTAGTTGACTTAAATTTAATCCGAGGCGTTATCACCTCTGTTTTTTTTTAGCGAGACTTGGTCATATGGACATGTTAGCAGTTTTTAATGCAACACTTGATAATGCATAGATTATAGTGGATCCTCAGGTCAGTTAGCGTTCCTGGATGTCCAAAGCCCAGCCCAACGCTCGTGCGAATCTATCAGACATCTTTTCCATTACACAATCCTGGACAACTGACGCATGCATTTCAACATGCCACTTCAACAGACTTCTTATTTGATGACATGTCTGATGGATCGGGACGAGATGGCCCAAGTGGTTAGAGCGCGAACTTACCGACCGGAAGGTCCGCGGTTCGAATCCGACCTCCGCCACTCGACTTCCCCTGTCTAGGCTTGGGCAACCTGACAGTATCCCAGCCCTCGTGCTTCCTTCGGGTGGCATGGCAGCTAGGTACTGGAAGGGTGCTACAACTGAACGCTGATGGATCGATTAAATATGCTGTGCAACAAGTGCATAAAAGTCAAATAATTACAGTTTCTACAGTCTCTTAAAGACCGCGTTCCGGCATGACTATCAGAGTAACCAATATAACCTAGAGTGAAGCGATAACGATCACTAGCTGCCTAAGTTTACATGGTCGCTGCACTTGATAAAACAATCTTTGCAGCCAGACTCATTAATATTTGCTTTCACAGCAGCATCTTACCTCCCCCACCCTTTCTGTATTTATTCCGCTTGCTGTTGTGGAATGGTTAGGTGTACGTGAACACTCTCTTGGTTGGCTTGAATGTACTGGTACCATTTCTGTCTCCAGCTCAGTAGTAGCGCATCTCTCCCAATACAACCACTACACACAGGTAGCGGAATTGCTTCGATCGATCTACCGGGAACCAGGCAAGGACAAACAAGACAACCACAGAGACAGTTACCATTAGCTTGTTCGACTCTGTCCGTGCAGTAGCCGAATCAACTTCTAATCACCACCACTCACCGTTACTTCAATTTTAGTTTCCTCACTCACACAGAAGAGAAGGGTAGTAGCTCAGATGCTTCACACCGCCCCCCTTCGCTGTACTGTTACCACCCGGAATGGTGACGAATGCTTGGACCATAAAGATTCTCACCATGCCGTTGCGAGTGTTTCTAATCTGCGGCTGCCGTTGTACTCAACACTGGCCAGCTAGCTCCCTCGTAATGTGTCCGCACAAAAGCATGTTGAACTGTGATCCGGCGGTTGGTGTTCCTCAGAAACGGATAACTTGTGATACTCACCTATTTTGGTTTCGCTTTATGCCGAGTAATGTATCTGGTGTAGTCTCAAGAAAATATGGGTCTCTCTCGCCAGCTGTGACCCTCGTTGACGACCTGAAACTCCTCAAGTATTATCGTCATCTTCAGCTTTCATTTTCTAAACTCTAAACCCCTAAGGAATTTTTCAGTATCGTGATCACAAGTTTGATCTTGATCCCACTGTTGTCTTTGTCACGGTCGCCTGTTGTCTTGTTCGCCTGGCTGACTCCCGTTGCTCCCCCCTCCGCTAACACCGGCCTTGTTTTATTCTTTGTTAGTGTCACTGCTTTGCGACACGCCGGTTGTTAGTCTAGTGATAGTAACTATTTATCAGAGAGGCAGAGCTACTTCGGTTTCTGGTACGAAACTGTATGGTGCAGTCCCACGTCCATAAAACACCCTGCTTTATGTGACAGCTAGCGTCCATCACCCTGATTTGCGTAACGGGCGACGTCAGAAAATCCGGCTAAGCGATTTTTCTCTGAGTGATTAGTTACTGTAGGTCATCGGTTTATCAGGACAAGATAACCGTCAACTCACAGGAAACAAAAAGCTACTCAGCTAAGAGTCCTACATACATGCAGTTGAAAAAAACAATCACATGCTCTAGTTTCTTTCACCATCTCTTACTTCAGTCTACGGCAGGTTGTAACAACTGTTTTTTTTGACTATGTGAAGATGTGAAATACAGATGAAGGTCAAGGGCTAATAGAAATGAGCAAAACCGTACACAAATCTCCTAGCGCTTATCGGTGCAAATGCCAGATTTTCATTCGTTAGGAGTTGCAAGTAGTGAGAGGGAGGAAACCCGAAAACGTATCATTATTTTACGGTTCAACGAGAAAACCAATAAGTGGTCTATTTGGGCAACATAGTTTACTGATGAGGAATGAGGGTCTTCAAAAGTCTAGGTCGATGAACAGACTTGGTGACTGGGATAAGAGACAATCTATGCGAGATCCTTGATATAGGGCAAAGGTAATCCGTTTGGATGTTGATCTGTTTGCTGAGCTTGACAGTGCACCGACGATATCACCCCGATTGGTTGCGAAACATCCGCAATCTAACTACCAAGCAAGAGGAACGGACCAACAACCAAGCAACGCACCAGAGCTACGTTAACATTGTCAACGATAATCAGTAACTTCGAGTGCAACGGTTAACAGTTATTCGCACACGGAAGGATCTCTTCGCAACTTGTTTCAGTAGTATGTTCACCTTCACAGTAGTCATAATGATAATTGATTATTGCGAGTGTCGCTAAACATCAGTATAGAGAAATGGAATAGAGCTAATCAGCCAAATTGATTTGCGGTAGCACAACACGAAACGTAACAACATAAACCCTCATTTGATCTGATCCATGGCTTGTAAACTAGGATGAAATAGATTGCTTCCGGGAGTAGTCTAGATTACAAAGTGTTTGGCGATTTGTCAGAATGCCTCCTAAACAAGAAAGGAATGATAAATGTCTGACTTGAACCAGGGCGATATGGCTCAAGTGGTTAGTGGCACGGCACTAGGCACCGAAAGGGGGCTACAGCTGAATGGTTTACTTGCACGAGGATTGATAAAGAATACTAAACGACTTCTAGTGGAACACCGTCCGTAACTACTTCCCGTAAAGACGTAGCAGATATTCATTGAACAAAGCCTTCCAGCACAAGCGAGTGAGATGATGAGAGTGACACTACGGCAAACCTTGCTGGTACTGACAGAGGATAGCGGTTTGGTTAGTAAGACGAACCCTCACGAGCCTGCTACTGTTGATAGCTGATCACTGAAAACCCCTCCATCCAACGAACATGGATTACGTAGCCCAGTCAGTGTCTGGAAGGATATTGGCACGTCAACACATGTTTGCGGCTTTCGAAAAATACAACAACACCAGTTCTCTTTCACCAACAGACCGCACTTTAGTCCAGGTTTTTCAAGCGTTTGTTTTCAACAATGGGCTTGAGAACTTCGGGTAAACTTAGGCGATTAGCCCTGTCAGAACAGAAACCACGTTCAGGGATCTTGAATGAGGGAGATTTCCATGGGTTGGGTACTTTATCCGTCTTCACAGTGAGATTGAAAACAGTAAGTCTTATCACAATTTTGGTACAAAACAGAAGGGATGTCATTTGGACTGAGAGATTCGGGATCACCAAGTGTGTAAGTTCGGTTTCCAGTTCTCCTGTGGATTGAGAGCAAACGCATATCTTTAAGGCATATATGGACAATCTGGTGGTATTTCAGCCTTTGTGCTTTCTTCTAGTGGCATGGTAGCTAACCAACAAAAGGGTGTTACAGCTGAAAGATTAGTAATATCGTGTGATTAATCAGTACCAATGTTGGAAAGTACATTCAGCTCTCTCGGGGGGACTATGCGTTAAACAATGGAAAGTTGAATATCGCAATTTGAGAACCCTGATGAGTACATCGGTTACCCAGTAAATTTTGTAGATAATGGGTTTATTTTTCTGCTTCTTATCGGTGCAGTTAAGGGCGTTTCGGCCACTTTTGTGTTCATTCAGTTCTACGGAGACGTCTGTGGTTGAATAGGAACTCTTATCAGGAGTTATAGTCACCAACAGCGGAAGAATTGATCCGAATGAGGTTACCAGGTCCATCTTCCAGTTGTCCCACTCGCCAGTAACATTCCTCGTAGCCTGAATACTGTTAGACAGGCGTCTGTTGGCGCATTTGTTGTCCTTTTAAACTCAAAATTACCTGATTGGGACAGTCCTTCTACATCAAACTCTGGTGTGTATTTGCGAATGTTAAATCCATCAGGCGCTTAACTATACCATATATATGTACTCTAAAGTTGAATTATTCCGGTGAATTATAAAGTACATCTGTGGTCTGTGATTATTTGTCCTCATCCGCCTATTCATCTAAGACAATGTTACCATGAACGATAATTTCAAATTGCCCACATTAAATTAGTCTTATTTTTTTGCGCTGTGCGCTGGTTATCATTTTCGCCTCTTGCACACATTGAATATTTGTTTGTCCACGTTGAACTCCTATGCAGAGAGAGGCATCCCGATGGAATTTGGCTCGAGGCTGAAACCTACGATGCCCTGATGAGAACTATCGAACAGGACTGTCTGGTAGGTTTAGACTTTGTCTTGCTGGGCTAGATAGAGGACAGTTGTTGTAGTCTTATAAACATGGTTATTTGCACTCACTTTGAACTGTTCTTCTCTGTGCATATGAATCTATGAAACGTAGGTATGCTGTGCAAAATAAGCTACGTGTAGAAAATATTGTTACGAGGTGCTTCGGTGCTCAGATCGGAGTTACTTTGCAAACAAACGACTGGGCTTTATGAGGGGTTGACCAATCAGAATAGTCCTACGCAGTCATGTCTGGTGATCAGATTTCCAGTGAAACACCACTTCACTGAAGCTGCCTCTTATCAACGCTCCCGGGTGATGAAAGGCCGATGGTCAACTGATCCACTTACCCAAAAGTGAATTTGTGGCTCTTATCTTGGAGGAAGCGCCCATTAATATAATGACTTATCTCGTGTATAAAACAACCTATCCCGCTGACCCCGTAGAAGCATATTGAGTTCATTTTGTCGTGCATTGGTGTCTGAGGCACTATGCATTTTACTCGAGCCGGTTGCCTCGCATTTGAACACGCCTCTTCTCGATTAGACACGCCGTCCTCTGAACGAATACGTTCATAGTTGAATTATGCCTAGAATCACATTCAACGACCTTATGGTGGAGAAATTCAACTATGTTTTACCTTCACATTTGGCTCACTATAGCGTTTGGTTCAGCGGCATCTCCTCTTGGTCCAACTATAAATATTCCTGAAAGGCTTGTCTTTTATCAGCATTCACCGGAAATTCAGTGCAGCACACTAATTATTCGTATAGATGGTCGTGATATTGTGCACTGTAAGGATTTCCGCTATCCAACCAGCACGCCATCCACAGATCCGACACCTGAAGTACATACACCACCATCCTACAAAGGCTCTTCTCATTCCAGCACGCCATCCACAGATCCGACACCACCATCCTACAAAGGCTCTTCTCATGCACACCGCGCCCGTTGGCTGGATGGTTTCAGATAGAACATACACCTGATGGAAACTCAGGAACTGTGGCTGTATGATTAGCCCGAAGGAAGGCGAAACTGGTCGTGGGCTACCGAAAAGTTTTCCGCAACCTTGTGAGTAGTTTCTTTGATCAACCGAAGCTGATTACTACCTAGCACCAGCCAACCATAGGTATCTGCCTTCGATACGTCTTGTGAGGACACTAGGTGTGCATAATGTGTATCCCTACTTGTCAGTCGTCCCCGTGCGATTTGGCAATTATTGGCCACCATTTCGGCACTCTGATGACATCAGCAGTGCGTTCTCATTTTTTGTTCTCTCCGGCTTACACCGGGTACGAAGTTAATTGCGAATGCAGCTCAGCACAAACCGTATGTCTCACTACCTGTGGTGCGCAAAGGTTCATCGGCGTAGTCCGATGTGACGGGCAATTCCGGACTAGTATGCCAGTCCACTACCGGGTGTTCGATAGTGCCAGTGTGGCCGACTTGTTTGTCAAACATCCATAGAGAACCCGAAAGCCCCCCGATCGCACCAGGCTGGCGCCCTTCTGCGTAACACTTGCGGAACCTTTGACCCTAGTGAACCGCAGACTCTCCCACTGACCGATCAGTGAGACAGCGAAACTGTCGTCGCTGAATCTTACTCAAGATCTCGGGACAACCCGTCGTCATTTATCTACAGCGTTGCGATCACGTATACAGCATTGCTCTGCAAATGCCGCAAACAACACAGCGCACTGTTTTGTCAGATTTTGTGACACAGTGATCACGGGACGTACATTCGCGGTAAATCAGTGTTCCTGAGGCTTTCCTCCGTTTGCGTTAGCAGTCTCAACTTCTGTTCATTTGGCATCATGCATATAGGAACCTAGTATTGATCACCTAGTGCACATGCGGCATTACTACGCTTTCTTATTCAGTCAAACTGCGAAAATGGCGCCGTCAAGCTGGTACGTACTTGCCATGCGTTTGTCAGCATGATAAAAAGGCTAACTATCGAGGTCTGTTTATGTTGTTACAACACCCAAAAACGCAGTGCTGCGAACCCTTACCGCTGAGTTGAACAAGAGTGACCGCAACCGATCGATCGTGCTTCGCCTGTCTTTTACCCATGTCCCGAGCCTGGTGTTGCTACATAAATCCAATTTCAGAGGAAGACGGATGCACATTGCAAAAAATCCTTCATACCGTTGGTCTTCGGTTTGATGTTGTCACTGCAAGGATCGCCCAGTATAGCGATAACTGGCCATATTTTGGTCAACGCGTTTAGGCCCTGGCTACTTCGAATCAAGGTTGTTACTTACTCTTCTCAGTTGGAAAACAATGATTATACTACTTCGGAAGCGGGTGATATTCTCCAAATCATTTATAATCTTGATCCTCTGTATACGGGATCTCTAATTTAAATATCAAAGTTTGTTGGCCTGATCGGTGCGCTTTTGCACCTGCACATCCCGACGGAGGTGGGTGAAATTGGGCACACATTAGAAAGAATCCAATGAGTACTTCTCATTGCAGTCAGATAGTTCCAAACATGTCAGTATGGAAACTTAGTTTGGATCGAAAGCGATACCGCAGTCGTCAAAGTGCCGTAAATATTCAGGCGCTTGATACTACAGAAAAGAACATTCGAACATTGTAGTTCGCTCAGCGCCACAAGTTGTGCCAATTGGGGCCACACTTTTGGTTCACGGTATGCGGACGAGGAAACTGGACCTTAGTGTGGGGAGGGGGCCGTTTGTGTGCTCCTGTGGCGGAGCCCATTGGCCGCTCACTGTCCTCAGTTGCAAAACCTTTGCGAGTGGAATAAAACTTTTTGTGCCAGAATGTTGCATTTCGTTGCATGTGTGCTCACACCACAAATCCTAATCTACGTTCATATTTTTGCGGCTCACCAAATTTCATTGTCATTGGCAATAAGTCCCTTTCCTGTCAACTTTTTTTCTTTTCTCCACAATAAGGCTTTCAAGTTATGGGATACGGACGGATGTGGTCAAGCTCGTAGGTAGTATTAATATCAAATGTGGATAACAAGATCATGGTGATGAAACAATCACATACTAGAGGGAATCTGTTACCACTTTATCCAAAGATACCTGTGCGGTTAGCGCGCTTTTCGTGGTTGGAACCCAACTATCTCTAGGCTTCGGCAACCTGGCACTATCTTAGCCATCATCCTTCCCTCGGGTGGCAAACCGGAGTACCGAAAACACCTTACACCTTCACGGTTGTTTTTTCTTGCTTATCAAGAATCAGACTACGCAACCATCTCTTCGTACGCGCAACTGGCCTTCGCCGATGAGTCACAAATCATGCAGCTAGTTTTGTGGATGTATTTATACGGTCGACTGGGTTCCGAAACACATCTGCGCGTCAGCAGTGATTGATCCTTTGGACGCGTGTGTAGTGTAGGCAAGCTGCAGGTGATTTACACTATTCCAAATGTGGTGCTACATGCACGTTGTCGATGCCAATTTCCACGCGATGGAATAAATTCGGCGGGGAAACACTTAGAGGCACCAGCACTTCTCTTACTCCAAGACGCTGGCTTTATCCGTCAGTTTCTCCAAGTTTCAATGACATGTCGCACTTCTTCCTAGACGAACTGACCTCTGAGGGATGCCGATTACCGTCCCATCTGGCTAGGAACTGACGGTCAGGCGACGAACCAGTAATCAGGTTTCTGGCGCTACTCTCAGCTCTTAGTACGACGATAAAGTCAGACGGGTGCTAAGTATTAATCAGGGCAGACTTACCTTTGACGTATATTAGCTGGAAGTGGGAGAAGTTGATCTGGGCGATTCAACAGTGCTTCTGTGGTGTATATCTATGTACTCAATGTCGTGGACAGTAATACATCATCAGTAGGTGCCTACCCGTCACACAACCATCGATAGAGGTACCTTGTTAAAGAATGAGGAGAAAGGAAGCAGTGGGAACCTATCACAAAAAGCCGACCGTAACCCAAAGCCAAAGTAAAGATGTAAGATGTCTTACGATTGGAAATTGCCATCACAGTGCATTAGCTACACCTATGGTGTCACTTTTAGTGAGTGTATGACACAGAGGAACTTTCAAAGGTTCAATAGGTTATGTCACGTGAGTACGTTGACCCAAATGGTTAAAACCATCAGAGGAAACAACCGAACACATGTGATGATTGTCATCAAAATATCGATCAGAGATAGACTCTGTATGGTCGATAAGAAACTTAACGTAAAAAAAGGTACGCACAAAGTGCAATGAAATGGTAGTTTAGTAAAATTATGCGATCCAATGAAATATTGAAATATATTGTAAATGAAATACTGAGTAGCCAATGCAATGTAAAAGAAGACTGGGACTTCTGTACTGCAAACCTTGTAGCTATACTTTGATGTGTAAGGGACTTTAAAAGCGTTAATGACATGGGTATCACGTGAAGAGATCCTGTCTGGCAGAGTTTAGATACGAGATCTGATATCTGGAGATGTTTTGAGAAGTGCTCGTGGATTATTGCTCCAAAACACCCTGTTATTCCACAGTGTAACTACGGCATCTGCAGACACGATCGATCATATTTGGCTGGTTAGGTTAAATTTAGCGACTGAAGGCATTCAAACAGCTTCTAATAAGGGATGATATAGTATCTCCTTTAAATAGCAAAAAAGCGTTAGCTGGTTCATTTTCGGTACGCCGGATGGTACTTCACGTTATCCTTGAGGTTTGCAGTATTCGTCCGAATCTAAGCCGACCTAAAGCAGCCACCTTGACGTGGTGGTCGGGCTTCAGTGCTGCAATGATCCCGCGAGCTGGAACTTAGTTCCACAAGGTG